TACCATCTTTTTACATCAACAGGAAACAGTCATTCAAGAACATGCCCAGGCTATTTGTGGCCTTTGCTGACAGACTTAAGGGGCAAGCCATATCCTCACAGAGGTTATCTAAGTGGGTCTCCAATTGTATAAGGACATATTATGAGTTAGTCAGGTTAGATTCACCTAGCCGCATTAGAGCTCATTCCACTAGAGCTCGGCCTCTGCGGCCCATTTAAAGAATGTCACTATACCTGAAATTTGTAGGGCAGTTATGTGGCGCTTTACAAGACACTATTCTTTAATAGAGGCTTCCAGACTGGGTGCCTGTTTTGGTAGGGCTGTCCTGCAGTCATTGTTTAAGTAGGGCTCCTTGTACCTGCCTCCAAGCAAATAGGCAACTGCAGAGTAGAGTGGAATCCATGTGGACAATCACTTGAAGAAAAGAGAATGGTCACTTACCCTGCAGTAACTGTGGTTCTGTGAGATGTGCTCACATGGATTCCATGACCCACCTTCCTTCTCTGTTACTACAGAGTTCTACCCTGCTGGGGTTCTGTATTGATAAAGGAACTTGGGGACAGTTAGGTCCCTTTGCCCTTTATACTGTCAGATATGGGGGACAGGAGGACAGTTAGGGCACAAGTGTGGCCAAAAGAACCGGATCTTGCATGCACAGGGAACATGTGCACCAAGAGTGGAATTCGTGTGGATAACACATCTCAAAGAACCACAGTTACTGTAGGGTAAGTAACTGGTCTTTATTTTACCTATTTGTTTTTAATGAAGTTGAAATTAAAATGGTCCTGTAAGAGGGCGTTATAGATCTTCTGTGGGGCCATGCAGGTATTGGAACTCTGTTGAGAGATACTAATCAAGTCCTGCTGATTCACTAGGGCATGTGTGGTTTGTTAAACTCCACCCTGGATATAACAGAGTTGGGAGTTGTCCTCTGGACAGAGGAATGTAGGGTCTGGAGCAGAGAAGTCAGAAGGGAGGAATCCTAGGAACACCCAAAGGGAGACAAAAATTATTTATTAAAGCCAGAGCCCAGGAAAAAGTGAGTTTTGACTCTGGACAATGTGTACTGCCTTTGTTTTGGAGCAGAATGGGAACATGATTTATGGCTTTTTGTTTTTTTTACTTGCTATTTCTGCACCAGCTTCCCCAATTATATAAGCACAACTTGGGCAAGTGTTAGTTACCTGAACTTCTGCGGATGAGACAGCAGTAGACAATCGTGATTTATTTATTTGTTGCTTGTAAAATGGTTTATTTTAAAAAATTTCTTGGATTGTTGAATTTTAATTTTTTTTTAAACTTAGTTATTTACAAAATAGAGAGCATTTCCCACAATCTCATAACATTTGTAAGGCATGCCAGTGAAATTTGGGTCCTTAGCTACTTGAAAGTCCTTCTAAACAACATACAATAATTACATAATTTAAAAAGTAATTACAAAGAAAAACTTGTCCCAAAATTGAAACAAGACATGTAAATGGTTTTATGATTTATTAGTTAGATCAGCTGCTGTTTACAAATTATACGAAAAAATATAAGTAAACATTTACTTTAAAAAAGGAAAAAGGAAAGTATTTACAACATATGTAACAAACAGAAATAGTACAGGAATACATACAGCACACTAATTGAAATGGAAATCCTCACTGCTGCTCTGACACTGAGGAGTAAAGTTTCAGCATGATGCCTGGGAATTAATTGGACTTTTCCAGTTATGAAGTCATAGTCATGGCTCCATATTTAAGGCTGAGTCCAACAATCCATTCTAAGTCCTGTTTTTGACACCTTGTACTGAAAATTTTCAGAAAAATCTCCTTTGTCCTAGAAATTCTCATATTTATTCTTAAAATTAAGTGAAATGGCTAAGCCATTTATAATAATAATAATAATTAATATATAGCTCTTATATAGTGCTTTTCATTCATAGCTCTCATAGCATCTTACAAGGAGGTAAGTACCATTATCCCCACTTCATGGATGGAAGTCCTTTGACTACATTTTTATTCCCCCATACATGCTGAATATTTAAACCTTTAGTCTCTAATTTTTACTATACATCATATAGTAGATATGGCACTGGATTGTGACTCTGGGTTCTTTTCCTGACTAGGTTACTGACTCTGTTAAATGTGAATCGGTAAAAAACGTATCTATTTATTAAAAAACAAACAAACCCTGTCTTACATATCGATACTTAAATATACTGGGAGATTTTAAAAATACAATATTTCAAATTCCATGGCCAAGGTCAACTCCTAGAGATGTAGTTCAGGGTCTACTCCTTCAAAATGTCATCTGTACCAGTCTAGAAAGCCCTCTTAAAAATGTTCAGACTGGCATAATAATAATTCTGAATAATGTTCTGAATCATTGAGATTAAAAGCAAAACATAAATCAGTGCTCTTACATCATCAAGAAGAAAAACAAAGGCTTGATTTGGCTGAAAAAGCATATAATAAGGTAGTAAAGGATATAGAAAAAAATAAACTTTTGCTCTCCTCCTACTAGCTATTATTTAAGTAAAGAATCGGTATTAAAGCTTAGACATTTTTAGCTATCTGAACTAATTCAAAAGGAGCGAAAATCACCTCTCTAAGTCCTCATAATTATAATAAAGATTATTATTAATAAAAAGTATATTACAGCACTTACAATGCCAGTGTATTCCAGCATCTAACATACAAGCTGAAAACTTCAGCGTACCAAATGTAAAAAGTATATAAAGATTTAAATGTCTTAGAAATCAATTGATGTCTACAAGAAATGTGTAGAAACAATGCCCCATCACAACATATCCATAATTCATCATTTTAATACAGGTACATTTAAATATTGTACATTCTATTAAAAAAAGGTGAAACATCTCTTGTAAGAGTCAAGAAAACTAGATATATAACAACAAATTGCTTCAATAAATAATTCTCCTGCACAGATTAATTCCATAATTAACATTTGACTGACATTAGTGGGTTGAAAAGGAAATCACTGGCTTTTAACTGCAAGAGACCCAAATTAGACGAATTTGGAGCCCAAAAGATGTAGAAATAATAAACTGCAGCAATGTAAATGATGTGACTATAATTTATACTACTGAAAAATATAATGATATTTTTTCTATTGCTTCTGGGACTGTAAAGACTAAAGTATGTCATTAGGTGGATGAGACCTTAAAAACCAAGGCCCTGTCCGTTCTGCATGGGCATTAAAGATTCCATGTCAGGTGGAACTTCCCCATTTTTCTTGGCCAAAATATCCCCTCCTTACACTATTGTGCAGAGTCTGGTCTACCCGTTGCCAATTTGGGGGTTTATCCTGCACCATTGAAGTCAATGAGAATTTTGCTGGGTTGGGCCACTGGTTCCTATTCTCCATCACAGAGGTGGCTGCATGATTTCTTTGTCTATAGGACAAAGATCTCTTAACTTACCCTGTTTAAACATGGCAATTTAAATTCAAAGTAAATGGTGGGACAAGATGAAATAACATCCTATTTGGCTAGACAAATGAGAAGGATGACAGAAAGAATCTGTCGTTCTGTAACACATGTTAATGAGGGCTCAATCCTGCAAGGTGTTGAGCACTCTGGGGCACTTTGGATCCAGTCCACAGTTATCTTTAAGCATGTGCTTAGTTCTTTGATGGAATGGGGCCAGAATGCTCAGCACCTTGAAGGACTGAGCTCCAAATGTTTCTCAAATTTTCATCTTCATTGATTTAGCATTGCTACATACTAGTTCCGAAGGTACATAATATTATGGCATGGATGTACTCCAAAAGGAGTCAAATGTGACTGAGAGACCAGGGGCGAAATTCTCACGCCCACTCCAGCACCTTTACACAGGATAAACTGGCCAGAGTGGCATAAAAGAGCTCTAAAAGCCCTGCAGTCTTCTGAGGACCCTCTCACAAGCCTTGGCATAGGGGTATGCCGGGGTCGGGCTGACTAGGGTGACCAGACAGCAAATGTGAAAAATCGGGATGGGGGTGGGGGGTAATAGGAGCCTATATAAGAAAAAGACCCAAAAATCGGGACTGTCCCTATAAAATCGGGACATCTGGTCACCCTAGGGCTGACGCAGGAGGGGGGAGGCTGTAGAGCTACAAGCTGGGCAAAAGGGTGCAAAGGTGGCCGAAAATCACCATCACCACTCCCCCCACAGGCCTCAAGTTCTGTGATGCACCTGTTAGACATGAAGCACAGACTCTTACCCTGTTATCAGTGACTGGGATAACAGAAGTACATTCTATTTGTGGTCTCAGGATCATTGTCATAGTAAGACTAGTATCAGAGGGGAGCCGTGTTAGTCTGGATCTGTAAAAAGCAACTTTTTATAGTAAGACTAGACACTTGTCCCATACTGAAGATAGGGAGGCAATAGATAGTCTAGCAATTGCAGTAAGGGCTATGGATTTTAAGTAAAAATGTGCTTTGTTTTGAAAGTCTCATCACATGAGAAGGATACACTGCTCGGTTATTGCTCTGTCCATTATGTGTTACAGCAGGGAAAACATGAGCATTTGCAGGAGAGTGGAGGGGAGGATTTATTGAAGCAGTTGTTGAGATGTTACTGTGAGAAAACAATGGAATTATCACAAAATGGAATTCCACACTCCCCAGCATGCCCCAAGCCAGGGACACTGTATTTGCACACAGAGCCATGCAAAAGAAAGGAAAAATCCAATATAATTTCTAGAAGTTTCACCACCAAGTCGTCACACATACCACCACCATCTGACCTACTGAAATCTCAAAATGACATAAATTAAAAAATACAATGATCTGTGGTGAAAGTACTTTTCAAATGACATTTTAAATGATTCTAAGCAAGTCTGTTTCACAAAGAACCAAATTTGTACAATTATTTAATTGTGACCAACAACAATAAAAATCATAAACTAGTTGTAAAACTAAACTGGTCTTTGTTTTCTAGTATTTTAAACACTAAATAAAAAAACCCTATAAAAACTGTACCATCTTTATTGATGTTTTGGTTTGATACTTTCATCAGATCAAAATATCTGATTATAGAGAGGTAAAGGTTGGAAAACAATGTAGCAGAAAGGATAAGGTAATAAGGGGGGGAAATAAAACAAGGAACAAGATGTTGCAAGAAGAGATGATATGAAAGATGAAATGGAAAGAAAGAAGCAAAGAAAGAAAATCATGAGAGACAAACAGAATGAAACAGTAAGGGACATTATAGGAAAATGATTCAGAAAACAAAGAAATAGAAAGGAGACAGAGTCCCCGATCCAGCAAAGCATGTAACCATGTGTTTGACTTTAAACACGTGAGTAGACCCACTGGATTAAAGTTAAGCATCAATTTATGTGCTTTGCTTTATTGGGGCCAGGGAGAACAAAGGGAGAAAACAGGATAATTTTAGAAGGTGACTACCAACATCCTACTGTTTTCAAGTCATAACTGAAAATTTGTTTCTTTTTAATCAGCATTTCAGATATTTCTAATGAGTCTGAGATTCCATAGAACACTAGCAAAAATAACACAGAGAAACTTTCAAGACCACCTTCTTTAAGATAGACCACCTGGTATGAGAGGAGACCACTTTTTGTCATCTGGTCCCTAATATATTCTTGTTTTTATTTTTGAAAATGTAAATACAGTGTTTTAGAGAGACCATTTGTATGAGAGGTCACTGTTACCTGGTCCCCATGGGTGGCCTGTGTGGATATATTTCTTTGCACTGAAAATTAACATGTCAGTAAAAAGCACCAGTTTGCTAATGAACTGGGGAAAAACAGGGCAAAAACGTCCTTAGGAACTTTGGGGTGGGGAGTATTTATAATCCTTATATTCCAAAGTCCCATGGAAAGAACTCCTAAAAGAAATCACAATGAAATAAAAAAGAGCAAATGTATTGCCATAATAATATTAATAACAGAAAGAAAAGTGATATTAACATTATCAAACTATAAATATAATTTTTTTCATTAAAAAACAAAAGGCACACCGCCTGCAGTTCTGGTCAGGTTCTTACACCCCAAAAAGTAAAAACTACAAATAAAAGAAATTAACCCCTTCATTAACCTGAAGATATTTCTCTCCTTTGCTAATACATTTATTGCATAATCTGTGTGACTGATATACTTCTTAAAGAAATTTTGCATCACATATTCTTTAAATGAAGATATTTCCTGTCCCCTTCATCCTTGAATTATTTTGGAAGTAGACTTGCTCTGAAAAGGTTCTGTATAAGGATGAGAAGAGGTGGATACTGTATAAGGTCTCATAGTCAATATGACCTATCATCTGTTTAAAACGTTTGCTGCCTGATAAAGGCTCTTCATCAGGGTGGGTTTAATGCACTGGGAGTGCCTAGAGGCAAATTAGGATAATCACAACTGTGCCTTTCCTGTGGGCATTCCAGTATTCCATACAATTTCCCCTACAATGACAAACTTTGACAGGTTTGTGTTTTCATTTGTTATTTCAGGGCCTGCTCTCTGTTCAGACTAATATTGCCATACGTGGTACATCCCTGTTTATGAAGCTATCCTGATACATAGCAGTTAGAGTTAGGACCAAAGTGGGAAGAGTCTTCTTCTGCCCTTCAAATTACAAGTAAGTCTTCTGTATTCCCCTTGTTGAAAAAGCACTGGAACGTTGCTTTCAAAATATCTTGGATCATTTAGTACAGGGGTTCTCAAACTGGGGGTTGAAACCCCTCAAGGGGTCACAAGGTCATTACATGAGGGGGTTGCGAGCTGTCAGTGTCCACCCCAAACCCCGCTTGCCCCCAGCATTTATAATGGTGTTAAATATATTAAACAGTGTATTTAATTTATTAAGGGGATCGCATTCAGAGGCTTGCGATGTGAAAGGGGTTGCCAGTAAAAAAGTTGAGACCCACTGATTTAGAAACTTGAGTCTCAGCAACTCCAAAATGCTGTGCTGCCATGTTTGTAAAAATAGTGCCACTAGATCATTGGTTATAGAACTCTGAAGTGGGCTTTTTAACACTAATCATGATTCTTAAACCTGTGTAATGGGATCATTAATTTTCCTGGTGAGTTACCGTCCACCACATCTCTCAACTTCAGATCTTAGCAGCCAATCACAAGCTTGTTCATGGAGATAGATGATAACAAAAGGTGCTTTTTAGCTGAAAAGCAGTTAGTAAAACACTGATAAAAAACAAATAAACCCCAAAGTAGGCATGGTAGTGCCAGCTGAAGTTAGAGATGCTTGATATGGGTATATATAAAAGTATCTTATTTCTGGGATTTATTCTGATAAAAAATAAATCACATTGGATTTGATTTCTGAAGATAAACCCTCCTAGCTGAACTACAACATGAATTGCTAACCCATTAGCCAAATCAGCCTGATTTCTCTAGTGATTAAAATAATGTAATGCATTTAGCAAAGCACTTAAGAACATGCTTAACTTTAAGCATATGAGTAATCCCATTGACTTTAATTGGACTACTCATATGTAAGTGCTTTACTGAATTGGGGCATTAGTGCACTCAATGCAATAGTTGTACTTATTTTATAAATTGTAGCTGCATTGTTTTATTGCAGGAACTCTATAGTAGAGATACTCAATACAAATATATATGATTAGAGTTTCTTTCACTCTCAGTAATAGGAATAAAATAGGGGATGCCATATTTGTGTGTTACATGTTGTGAGGCAGTTGAGGTTCCGGTGTTGTACACTCAGAATTTCATATGAAGGGGGAAATGTACTATGTGACATTTAACTCCTTGCCTAATCTTTTCTTCCCTCTAGTAAATCTGTGTAAAGCCCCTTAATATCTTGTAACTGTTAGAAATTACACCACTGTGATCCTTCCTTTCAATCTTGGAATACTTCTGTTGGAATGTACCCACAGAAAAGTTTACTTAAGCACTTTATCAAGACATCAGAAACATTTCTGGAGATCTAAAGACATCATTAACATTATTTTGTTCTGGTGTGTAGTGCCAACTAATACTTCCAATTTGTATCATGAAAGACTGAAATTGAATGGAACTCCAGTATCCAAAGCAACTGCTAATGAAAACAGACTTTCACCAAACAGCAGAATTTTTGTCTATTATGCCAGGATATAATATGACTGTACAAACTGGATAGAAGTTTTGTTTGTGTATGTGCAAAAAATTCATTCATGTATAGCTTGTGGGGAGAATAAAAGGTTATGAAAGGATTAAAGATGGAATCATCAAAGGGAATAGATGGAAGTTTGTCATCTTGTAACCAGGAAAGGTAGCAAAGCTTTTACCATGTCCTCTTGGAGCTGCTCTCCAAAATGAATATACAAGTTTTTCTTTAAAGAGATGATTATTCAAGAGAGAGAGTTTCCTTCTTGTACTGAGAGAGTCCCACAGAATTATTGTCTGTATCTATGTTACACTTACTTTACATATTGGCTGCTGGAAAACAAACCTAATTCTTCATGCGAAGAGTCTGATGACAAAAATAGAATTTGGGAAAATGAACCAAAAAAAAAAAGTAATTTTCTAGCTCTGCTGCTGGCCTCTGGAAGGAGGGGACAAAAAAACAAAGCAAAAACTGTTGGTATGCCCATCTCCAGTAGCCACACCACGCATGTTGGTCAAGGACAATACTCTGGTGTGCGTGACTGAAGAATTCCTTCAAACTCCTGGACGGTAATTTGCAAACATCTTCAGCAAATCTTCAGGAAGGATGTTCTTCTCCTTTCATTGTTGCAGTCATCCCCCAACCTTGTCTCACTTTTTGGCTATCAACCAAGGAGTTTGACCCTTAAAGTGGTAGACAAATGATTTAATATGAAAATGGCCTATCAAAGGTAATACCTAATACTAGCACTGCTTTTTATTGCTCTAGGTTTTAGTAGAAATAGACCAAAATCTGAACCTGGAATCCAAACCTTCAAATTTCAAGGTGGTTCAAATTTGATTCCACTGATGACAAAATGCCTCTATGATCTGAGTTCTAGTTCTAATCCAAAACTGTAAGGGTCTGGAATCTTGTGAGAATAGCTGTTCAACCAAAATTTTAGACTAAAATGGTGGAAATATCATGTACTTGATATCTCATGCAGCACTAATAAAGCAGGACTAGATCGTGGCTGGCCCTGTGTTGGTGCACAAGGAGGGCACAGGAAGTGGACCACAATACCAGTTTCTGCAATTCCTGAATGCAAAAGCAGCAGGAGTGTTCGTGCTGCCAGCAATGTGAAGTACTCTGAACGGAGTTAGGCCATGCTCTGTGCCCTTCCATCAGCTGCTAGCCACCCAAGAGGAAGGAGGCCTAGGAACTGAGAGAAGGCATGTTCAGGAACTTCCAGTAGTGAAGTGTGGCCCTTTGAATCTTCCCCTCATCACCAGCATAGCTTTATTTTGTGAAGCCACAATAGAATTTTTAAGTTTCTGTTGACTGGCCAAAATTTTTCTAGGGTAACCAAAGGAGCAAATTCAATATTTTTACCTTCGCAGAAGTCAATTCCCCTTTTTACTTTGTGAATTGCCTGCTATCTAGGTATCATTGCCTCCTCCTCTTGAAAAGAACATTCACTTCTCACACTCTCAGATTTGTGTATACCTTGTAACACTCTTCTACTTTGCTTCTTTGTTGTTAACTCTGTCAGATTCTCAGGGACAGATTTTCAAAGGTGTTATGGTTCCTTAAAGAACCTAAGCGAGTTAGGTGCCAAACTTCCTTAAAATAAGTATTTAGTATTTAAGAGCCAAGTTTTCTTTTAAACTGAAGTCTACAGATCCCCTTTGCCTTGAAGTATTTGCTATTTTTCAGGTAAGGATAAAAATAAAACTAATTTGTAAAGTCAGTGGAATCTACTCAGAGCAAAACCAGGCCCGGTCTACACTACAGAATTACTTTGGTATAAATACATTGCTCAGGGGTGTGAAAAATCCCCACCCCGAGCAACGTAGTTATACCAACCTAAGCACCAATGTAGACAGCGTTGTGTCACCGGGAGAGCTTCTGTTGGCATAGAGCGTCTTCACTAAAGCACTACAGCGGTGCAGTTGCATTGGTGCAGCTGCACCAAAGAAGCATTTTAAGCGTAGACCTGCCCTCAGTCTTGAAAAATACATGCTTTTAGATTTAAAATGCTTGGGCCTGAACCTAAGCTTTCAGAGGGTGATTATGTGTTGCAGGGGGAATGTTGTGGGGAAGAAGGAACATTCGACTATACCAGGGAGTAGAGGACTGAACTAAGGAGTTCCTGATATGGAAGAGGAGCACACCAAGTTAATTTCCAACTGGGCAGGGAAGGAAGGTTAAAGGTGGTGCAGATCAGTAGAAAAAAACAGAAACCCCAAACCGCTCTCTGCATAGGGCTAGAGGCGTTACTAAACATAATCTTTTTTATTTATTTTTTATTTAGGGGGAGACTAATTGTTACTATTGGAAAATAATTATTTTGGGGGACCCCTTCAGTGCATGGGACCTGGATGTGCTGATCTCTTTGATATTTTACCCCATCACTGCCACGGAGGATGGGTGCGGGTCAAACTGCAACACAAAAACTGCAGTGACATTTTTAAAATGTGCAGTGACTTCTTTAGGAAACCACAGAGGGAATGTTAAACAAACCTGAAAGGCCTAAGATCTCATATCCAGACTCAGTAATTCACAGCCTAGTGATATCTTGGAAATTATTTAGAGAACAGGCCAACCCAAAGCTCTGAATGGAATTGTTGGAAGAAAAGCTGAACAAAGAAGTGGGGAGAGGAGCATGAGCTGACAGTTGCTGGGTGTGTGTACTTGCACATTGCTGACTAAAAGGAAGTGGGTTCGAGCTGCAGCAATTGGTCTTTGATTCGCCCTTCATTTACCCTGGTGTAAAGCAGTAACAACTCTACTGAAGCCACTGGAGTTACACTGGTGCAATAAAGGAGTAAGTGACAGGAACATCAAGCCCATGTTGTCTATTGCTCCCAAAACCTCTCTCTTTTTTCTGTAGGGTTGCCAGGTGTCCAGTTTTCGACCAGAACACCCAGTCAAAAAGGGACCCTGGCGGCTTCAGGCTGCTGATCAGGCCGTTAAAAGTCCGGTCGGTGGCGCAGCGGGGCTAAGGCAGGCTCCCTGCCTGCCATGGCTCTGCACGGCTCCCAGAAGCAGCAGCATGTTCCCCCTCCGGCTCCTATGCATGGGGCAGCCGGGGGGCTCCGCACGATGCTCCCGCCCCAAACCCCAGCTCTGCAGCTCCTATTGGTGGGGAACTACGGCCAATAGGAGCTGAGGGGGTGGTGCCTGCGGATGGGGCAGCACCTGCGGATGGGGCTTCCTCCGCATAGGATCCGGAGGGGGGACATGATGCTGCTTCCGGGAGCTTCTTGAGGTAAGCGCTGCTTGGAGCCTGCACCCCTGACCTCCTGCCCCAGCCCTGATCCCCCTCCAAACTCCTCGATCCCAGCCTGGAGCACCCTCCTGCAACCCAAACCTCTCATTCCCAGCCCCGCCCCAGAGCCTGCACCCCCAGCCAGAGCCCTCACACCCCCAGTACCTCAACTACTGCCCCAACCCAGAGGCCCCTTCCACACTCTGAACCCTTCAGCCCCAGCCTGGAGCCCCCTTCTGCATCCTAAATCCCTCATTCCTGGCCCCACACCAGAGCCTGCACCCCCAGCCGGAGCCCTCACCCCCTTCCACACCCCAACCCCCTGCCTCAGCATGGAGCCCCCTCCTGCACCTCAACCCCTGAGCCAGCCCGGTGAAAATGACCTAGTGAATGAGGGCGGGGAAAGCGAGCAACAGGGAGAGAGGGGATGGAGTGAACGGGGGGCTGGGCCTTGGAGAAGGGGTAGGGTGGGGGTGGGGCCTCAGAGGAGTGGCCGGGCAGGGCAAGGGTGTTTTGGTTTTGTGCGAGTAGAAAGTTGGCAACCCTATTTTACTGTCATGATTTAGCAGCTTCCAAGAGCTCTGGCAATTTCATTTCAAGGTCCCTGATGCCTCAGACAATGGCTTCCTTCCCCATAAATTTATCAGCTGAAAAACACCCTGAGAAATAATAAACAAATATCATACTCCTCTGAGCGCATGAATTAACTTTCAGTTGCCATGTAAAACAATGTTACCGTTGTAAGTTTTGTTTTCTTTTAGATAAAAAAAAAATCTTGCCGTGACAAATTCATGCCATGCAACAAAGAAGAACACATTCAGAAAACAGGAAAGGGACAGACAAAAAGCAGACAGTTGTGAATTTTCTTAGGAGTTTGTCAATGCCAGCTGTTTAAGTACAGCCACCATTTTTAGAAAGGGTTGGAATGATTCATCTTGGTTGTTTCTTGGTACAAGATTAGCAAAGGAATTCCTCTCTAACGCCGTAACAACCCCACAAGGACTCAGTAACAGGGTTACTATTAGGACAGGGTTTTATTTTGACTTTTGTACTGGCTGACTTTTTTGTGTCTGATCCAATTATAAGACTAGAATTGGGTAGTATCAGTTTGTGTTCAGATAACTGCTGCCCGTGCCAGCCACACTCCACAACCTTGTAACAGGTAGCTGGATTTGATATCAATGTTTTTATGAAAAAATAGTGCTATACAGTTGTTAGTTCTCATGCTATATCGTTTCAAATAAAGAGTCTTAACCCAGGGCAATGACAGTTCTGTTTATATTGTAGCAACAAAGACGAATCTGTTGGCTAAGATAACAAATTGGGAGTCCTCTGGATATGATACGTACTGTATACTGGGGCTTTTTTAACTTGCAGTTTCTCAAACCAGGTGTTCACCCTCCTTATACTGCATAGATAAGGGATTCTTTTTATGTAAGACTGATACATACAGTACTGCAGGTACTTTGGAGGGAATATATAGCAAAATTGTGAGAGACCTGCAGTATTGCATTAAACAGCTTGATTTCAACACCTCTGTTTAGTTCAATTGATGGAGTACACTTTGTTCATCTCCACTGTGATTTTTTTGACACTATTAGCTTCCCTTCTATCCCCCAATTGCAAACTTTATTCCTAGTGTTTCACCTTTCAGACCTGGGCTACAAAAGGTGCACAAGTTTTAGGAATTAAACATCATCCCTTTCGTTCCAATACATAACACACACAGTGGGCAAAATTCAACCAAGGCATAAATGGATTTATTTTAGTGGGAACTGCACTTATGTCATGAC